TATATAGATAGATAGATAGATAGATAGATAGATAGATAGATAGATAGATATAGATAGATAGATAGATAGATAGATAGATAGATAGATAGATAGATGGATAGATAGATCCTATTAGCCTGTACCCCTGAGAATAAAACAATATGGGGGTCATTAATATAATTTCTGACACATTACCAAAAAAAGTTTCAACATTGTAAGAGTACATGTTTCACCCTGTCCCGTTTGCAAAAAGTACAAGCAAAATATCCGACGGCACGTGAAGGCGTCAAAACAAAGTCCTGCCCTTCCAGGAAGACTGAGACCGTGTAAAGATACCACGGTATGTTCTATAATTGTCATTGAGTTCAACTCTGTAGGCAAATATTGTGTATCGTGTAGTATAAAATTGAATGCAATATTCGTCAATAAGCTGTTTTATTTCTGTAAAAAGAAAACTGCTCTTTTAACTCCCTCAGTTATGCAACAGCACAAACTTCCGGTGCTGTTGATGTTGACTTTGTTAAACACAGTTAGTGTAAGTGTACATTTATACATTTGCCTTAGCAATCGTGTACATTTGTCGTATTTGTGTTCAAGGTTTAAAGTAAACATTAGAATGGAACCTGACGTGACATTCTATGTACATCCGAAACAATTAGAATGGAAACTGACGTGACATTCTATGTACATCCGAATCAAAAGTGAAAGAAATTTGACATTCAATAGGTTGATTATGCAACAATACGTTTGTATGTAACACTAAATATTAGGGTTACAGAGTATTTTTTTGTTATCTGGAACATTTTATAAGAACAGCCATTCATTCGAATAAACTATGGAGTAATCTGAAAATGTAATTCAGTTTTAAAAGTTCTTACTTTTTCAGTGCTTTTTATACACAGCTGTACATTTTTCTGACAAACTGTGAACAATTCCGACCATACATATTTCTCCAAGTTCTTGATACCCGGAAAAAAAATTATAGCTATATATATTATTAATCTGATATTAATTTTCTTCATGCAAGTTCTAGTACGGGGTTTTAAATGGTTTTGTAAATTAAGTTTATTATAAATTACCCTTAAATACTTGTTATAGAACATTTAATACCTAGTGACGTATAGAAAACATTTACCGGTGAATATGCAAATACATTGTAAAACAAAAATTCAATTAAATTAAAATTAATTTCAAGTTGTTTTTTCTCATGAACACAAAAAAGACCAAACAATCCTTCAACAGTCCGCTCCTTCCACAGGAGTCAGAAAGACTGAAGTAGGTGGTTGAGGAATTCCCAACAGCAGCCGCAACAATGGACAGTCGGGAGGTGGTGGGCTTACTTCAGGAGTGCCTCAGAGCAGCCACATCAGCAGGCCAACTCTCCACACAGCCCACGGAGACGGAGAAGCGGAACTACTGCAGCTGCAGAGGTCAGACACAAGATGGTGCCATTTTGTGTTTGTTGTTTTTTTTAAGTCATACAGACCGTAAAAGTGGGAATTCTAGTGACAATATCATATATATCTTGTAGACTCACTGTGTGCAGAACTGGCCTCTCTCCTGCAGGAGGCAATCGACATGAAGTGGCCCTTTGTGCCTGAGAAGTGGCAGTACAAACTGTCAATCAGTGCCACAGACAAATCCAATCTCAGTGACCTTGTTGCCGAGCATCTGCCACAGTTACTGGTATTAGTAAAAACCTAACAAACCTTTTTTTCCAAAGTAAGATACATTTTTTCATAACAAGTTTATTGGGTCACCAGGCTCTTTTGAAAACCTCCATTGTGGCCCAGGAAGCAAGCACAGCCCTAGCTGTGGTCTTCTTAGTGGACCGTTTTCTTTACTGGACAGACGAGTCCAGCCGTCTACTAAAGATCACAAGGCTGCTCCATAGATGTCACCCAAATACTCCTGTGGCTCCACAGCTGATCATACGACAGGCCAGGGTCTACCTCAACTCTGGTATGGTGTTTTGGACGTCAGTCATTAAGCATGCGGTTGTAGTGGTACATTGTATATCGTGCATCAATAAATCAATAGTTATAGGAGAGTATTTCTAGAATATAAAAGACCGTTGAACCTTTTATATTTATATTTTCACTGCAGGGACATTTAGCCTAAGCTTTGGTTAAGCCTAGTTTGTTCTTACCTTGCAGGCAAACTGCAGAAGGCAGAGTACATACTAAGCAGTCTGATTAATAGCAGTGGTGCCACAGGTAATGTTCTTGTTCTTTTTTTTTTTAACTGCCTCTCATGGATATTATACTCTAAAACACTTTATGTTTTATATGCAGGTTGTTGGTTGTACCAAAGTGAAAGTGACAGGGCTCTGGTACAGGCTGTCAGTGTCCAAGTGCGTGGAATGATCCTGCAAAAGCTTGGTAAAGACGCATTTAACTCTAATTTATGAAAAAAGAAGTGATATCAATTTTGTTTGTTAGATTTTGCTGAGTTGTGTTTATGTTCCATTGCAGGCCTGTGGCTGGAGGCCGCAAAGTTAATCTGGGCCTCGCTGGTCGGCTTCTACTCACTACCTCAGCCTGATAAAAAGGTGACCATTGATTGGGGTTGATAGTTCTGTGTCACATACATGAGATTAGAAGTAAACTTAAACAACTGATTGAAGCCAATTCTAAGCTGTTCCTCTCTACCACTGAATAGGGCATCGGGACATCTCTCGGAATACTGGCCAACATATTGGTGTCAATGAACGATGAGGACTTCCATACTTTCAGGACAAACATAGATATTGAACTGGTAAGTCTCACAGGCGTAGTGATTCTTAAAATGTATTGTTGATTAGTTGAGAACAATCTCTAGTTAATCTATCTATCTGCTGGAGGTTAATACGAGAGAAACCTCAGCGGTAAAATATTTCTTATCGTCATACGGGACAGAAACCTTTACATTACTACAGGGTGTCCTCATCGTAGTTCCGTTCCTATGCTGTGCAATATAACTAAATGTTTACGCCGTAAGTCGGACCTCACATAGTTTACATAAGTAGCTGTGTCAGTCACCGAGGCTAGCACAGCGGTAACATCATAATCTAGAACATAAAAACAACAAAAGTTCCCAAAAAAACCAACACAAATAAAAGAGAGAGGGATGGGTTGCACAATCAAATGTATGGTGTATAACTGGGAAATGTAAACAAAGCCGTCTTCCGCATAATAGCGCCATGTGACGACTATTCGCCAACTAGATTCTGTGTGCGAAATTTGTTTTAACGTCATATGTGAGAATAATGAAACAAGGCTTTCTTAATAAACTTGGACGGAGTCATAACCACAAAAAACACCATAGTTCAAGAACGTCAAAAAAAACGAGGACCTTCTGTGTTCTGAAAATGTTAAATGAAACACTGTATTTTGTCCAATACACTACATGCTTTCATTTGCAGGAGTCCTTACTAGAAAACGCGACTCACCGTCTGCTTTCAGCAGCAAAGGCAGCAAAAATGGCAGTTGTCTACAGCCAGTACACCTCCCTCTATGTGTTGACCAACGTGGTATGGACTTGACTGATATAAATGAATGGACTTTATTTCATCATTGAAAGAGGGAGATATTTTTAATATCTGTCATTTCTGTCTTTTAGGTGACTCAAGGGACCTGTCTGTTATCGTACAGTTTTTCAGTGGAGTGCCCAAACTCGCAGAGACAATCTTTTCTCCAACAGGCCAGAGAGGCATTTGAAATTGGTTTGCTCACTAAAACAAAGGGCGAGCAAGTGGCGAGCAAGCAGGAGCTGCACACCTTCCTCAAAGCTGCATATTCCCTCGCTGTCACTCACAAGTGGCTCGGCACATCTGGAGAGGCTGTGGCTCGGGCAACTCAAGCATGCCAAAGTGCTTTGGCCAGTTTTTACGATTACTGCTGCGCAGAGAATCAAGACAAGGACGCCCTCTGTGCCAAGATCATGCAGTTGCTGTCTCAAGTCAAGTTTCTATTGAAAGTGGAGCCTTTTATTAACACAGACAGCGGATCTTTTATTCCCGACAGCTACCGAAACATTAAAGATGCATCAGTAAATTTTACTCTGACAGGTTTCTCCAAGTTGATGCAGAGATATCAAAAGTATCACGCATCGCTGTGCGTTACGCACTGTAAAGGGAATAAAGATGCAGTAAATGGAGAGGGACCATGCATTACTGCGTTGAACACAACAGTTGGTGCACTAAACACAGATTGTGGCACCGAGGCTTGTCACGTGACCACAAATTCACCCCGAGCAGATGAGCCACACCAGAAAGATACAGATTCACCGGTCATGCCTCCGCAGCAAATGCCTCAGCAAAACACTACTCTCACAAGCACAGATGAGCTGGGTTCATCATGGCAGAATATCTCTTTGAGTAGTTCTGGATCTTCCTGGGCCAGCAGCAGTGGCTATACAGGAAGTAGTGCCATAAAAGGAGCAAATAGGAATCAAAGCTGTCTGACCACTGAGGTCGATGATCCAAGGGCAACCCGCTTTCCCCAGTTCATAGATAAAACCAAAACACCTGATGGGCATAGTTTCATCAGTGTGAGTTGTGGTTCAAAAAACTCAGAAGTGACACAAGACGCGGTAGAGACACTGGACACTGAGCATGGCTGGATGATTGAAGCTGCTAGTGTAGGATCTCCGCACTCCTTATCTGGGCTAACTCTCGGATCATCCTTGAGCTCACTTGGTGACAGCCTCGGTTCCAAGTCATCTTGGGAAAAAATATCATTTGAAAACTCCCCCACAAATAGTAAACCTTATGCAAGTCAAGCAGGAAGCAGCTTCTCCCCTTTCCCAAAAACACATTGTGAAAGCAGCGATTCACCGTATAATAAACACAAATCGGAGGAGGTGTTTGAAACGAAGCCCCAGCAGCACAACTTGGAGTTGAAGGAGAAACTGCAAATAGACATTGCCAACAGCTCCTCAGCTTCTTCCCACCAAGACGTTGCCCAGTGTGACTTCACTGATAATTCCTCAGACAGTTCATATGAGATTGTGGAGGTCTGTGATGCCTCTACTTCACAAGCAGCAAGGAATAACCCCTTGTGCTACAGCTGTCAAGACCCTGTGGGAAAGGCTGCCTCTAGTGGGCAATATTTGTTGTCACAGAAAGATTACAGGGCCTTACTGGCTGGTGTTTGCAATGAATGTCTATTTAAAAGGTTGCAAAGTAATGAAACACAATTTCAACTTCAACAACAAGGAAACAACAAGGAAAACAAAACTGCCTATAGTAAGTATGCAGTCACCGTACTGAGCCCAGAGCCTGAGGTCTGAAATGTAAACTCATGTGTTTTCTTTAATGGTTACAAACCATCACATCCTTAAGGTGCTCTTCATCTAAAGTTCTCCAAAGCCAATGAGCTGTGGACAGCCAGGGAGACCTGCGTTTACATTGGAGAGCCAATGGGGATGGAGGGAAAGCAGAGAAAAGCTATATGGGTCCAATTCTTACACCAGGAGGAGAGGCTGAGCAGGTACAAACACTTCAGTTGACAACTTCAAAACAACTGTTTCACATTGTTGATAACAAAAATATGCAAAAGTCTAACCTCAAATTTACTCAATAGATATACAGTTCATTGTATTTTATTAGACAATTGCGTCAATCAGCGTGTCAGACGTATAGACTTACTTAGTGCCCAGAATTAGCGTTTGACCTGAGGTTGAAGTCTCCCCAAATGCATGTCGTGCATTGAGATGGTATTTTAAGTGAATAAAATTTTCCCCACAGCATGCGTAAATAACTAGTGTATTGACTGTGTATCAGAGCACCGAAACTGGTGTATTGACTGTGTATCAGAGCACCGACAAGTTGATGGACAGTAGAATTAGTAAATATACAGTGTGCATCATTCTGTGTATGTGTGTGTTAGAGTCTGACTGTGCGTTATTTTGTGCAGTTACGTGGGGAAGGATTACTTGGAGCCAAAGCAGATCCAGTTTCACCTGAAAGACGTTGAACGTCAGATGACTGCCCAGTACTATGTGACTGAATTTAACAAGCGCCTCTATGATAAAGACGTAATGGCTCAGATCTTCTTCATTCCCTCGGAAGCCCTGCTGGTGAGTCCAGGTCATGACACACATTTAAAATACATTGAGTTGATAAATAAATAAAATAATTACTCTGCTTTTTGTTTTTTCCACAATCAGCTGTTAAAAAGAAAAAAATGGAAATAAGCCACTCAGTTACATGACCCCATATATTTCCATAATATATCACATATCATAACTTTTAGAACACAATAAACAACCGCTTAAATACCCTGAATTAAACATACATTGATCATCTTTAACACCAGAAACACACATTCATTTTTAAGCAATGATAATGCATTCATCTGAATATGATCTTGTTTCTCGGAATAGATTTTAAACGAAAATGAGATTGTGGGCTGTGTGACAGTTGAGCCCTACATGCTCGGAGACTTTGTCAAACTGACCAACAACACGTGGAAGAAGGACCTGACTTTCCAGGCAACAGAATACGGTCTTGCCTTTGGACACTTTACCTATCTCTTCTCTGGGCAAAAGGAAGTTGTTGTCGACTTGCAGGGTGTGTGTTACTGAGATCACACTGATGTGGATTTTTTTTGTTAAACAAATGCTAACAAACCTACCTTTTATTCCCCCACAGGCTGGGTGACTGCCAATGGCAAGGGTCTAACCTACCTCACTGACCCACAGATCCACTCCACCAAAGCCCCTAAAGGCCCCTCTAACTTTGCTGCCAAAGGCCTCAGTATCTTCCTGGAGAAGCAGCACGGGCAGGAGTGCAACACCATTTGTCAGCTGCTCCATTTACCACCGGTGGACAGCCGACAATTCTCTTTCGCCTAAAAAGCTGAAAAAGTCAATATAAGTTTCGGTCAATAAAGCTCAACTTTTGACATTAGAGGAAAAAGCAGCTTATGCGTCCCACACATACATATATTTGCAACATGGAAAATCGTTGTGTATATTTCTACCCATCATCTATGTGTCTAGATTTATGTTGTCAGACCGAAAAAAAATTGAAAATGATGTGTACACCTTGTTCTCAATTTGTATTATGTGTCTGTCTTTGAAGTCACTAAACAAATAATCCTTATTAAAACTAAATTACGACTGAAATTAAAAGTTTTTTTCAGTCTCTTTTCTGCTTAAGTAAACAGTGGTTTTAAGATTATCCCAGTTTTATTAAAAAACTACATTAGCACAGTGTTGCTTGTACCAGACAAGCAACAGTAATTCAACCGTTAGACAAACATGATGAACACACAAGCAGTGAAAACAAATAACTGCTATTAATGTAGACAGGTGAGTGTTCTATTTAAACAAATCGATTATTTGCTACATGTCTCAGTGCAGTGGCAAAGGTTTTAATTAGGTATGTAAACTGCTGTAAAGTAAAAATGTCATTGCAAAAACCAAAGTGTTGTTTTTGTTTACTTACTATATGAGCCAACAGACAAAAACCTGGAATAAATCAATATTTTGTCACTACAATGTATACTACCATTAGTATTCATTCTTGCAAAAATGAAACTTGTTTGCTTTTCTATCAAACACAGAACTTTCTTTTAAGTTTGAAACACATTCACTGAAACAAAAACATCTGGTCACAACAAATATTAGACCTTCGTTACAATGGACAAATATTTCTGTCCCATGACATGCAGGTACTCCTGACAGAACTAGGTGCAGTTAACACACACCTCCACATCATATGACCTCTGTTACAATAGACAAATGTTTCTATTTCTGGCTGTGCGTAGTGCTGATATGACACTGCCCGTGAGTGAGTGAGGGAGTGATAAAGCAACGCTGACCACTGTATCTATTGATGTTGATTATTTCTTTCAAGCAAATATTTTAGATAGCTATTTATCTCTGAATATTAACTGCATTTAAAAGGGAACATTTTTCACAATACAGTATTATTTTGTGAAATATCAACATAAATGTTAAATAAATTATGATTCAATTATTCTCAATTAACACAATGTTGAAACAGAGGGCCTTTTTTTCTAGGAGTTTGAGTGGACATTTCCAAAAATAAGGACGCGCCGATCACTTGAATTGTCACGTGTCATCGCGCGGACCAGTTACTTTCTGAATGATGATGTCAGATACTGAAGGGGTCACTCTCGCCACACTCCTACTATCGTATATGCCTATTCAGATCAATTCATCCACTGATGGATCAAATTTACACTGGACCATGAATGTACAAAACGCACTTAAATGGCCCTGTCATTGGCATAAGACTCAGATTGTTCAGAATAATAAAGTAGTCATTTATTTGTCTAGATTTGTTGGTAGGACTCAATGTTTCATGCTTACGATCTTTTTAATAGACATATTTAAGACGCAAAAGGAACAAGTGAAATTTGTATTTTCACCTTTAATCAGTTGACTGAGCAGAAGTTCTGATGTGAAACTGAACACTTCCATTTTTACTGGAGTTTCATTTCACATAAGGTAATCTATACTTTTACTAAAGTATGTAGCTAGTTACACTAAAAACTAAAACTATATTAAAATGACTATATAATAAATGACTATATTTGTTTTGTCAAGCTTTGATAACGCACCTCATGTTTACTCATCTTAAGATACCATTGCACCTTTTCCTGACATTTTATCAGCAGAAGCAGTGACTCAAAGAGTCCTGGAATCTGAATTATTTTCCTGGAGCCTGACAGCCTTTAAAAGGAGGTGAAGACGAAGAAGAGAGTAGAATCTTCAAATATGAAACAATTAGCAGCAGTATTTGTCTGTTTACTGGCCGCCTGCCTGGCTGACAAGCCTCAACCATGCAGTAAGTAATACTTTGTAATAAGTATTTAGCTGTGAAAAATACCTTGTGCTTTCCAAAGGTGATTTCATTGCTGGCTTCCAGACTTTGGCATGTTATCTTTGTGAACGTGTGTACTTTTATTAAACAAAAAGATGCTTGTCTTCATCCTCATACAGCAAGTCCTCCTCTCCTGAATGGATCCCTCATCGTGGTGAGTGTTTATTCTGGAACGTTAATACCTGAACAGGAATACAATGAGTAAACTGACACTTTTGCCCTATGGGGTTTTTTGGTTGTTGTTTTTTTAAGGCTACACAGAATGAAGAGCTGTTCGAAATTGGAACGTTTCTGTACGACGCACAGGACCGGAAGATAAGAGTGGGGGTGTTGGGAAAGTTGGGCAACCAGACGTTTATCCATGATCTTCTTCTGATTTACAGAGAGGTATGTTTACGTTGGACACAATATCTGTACCACACATACCAGTAATCTGTGGATGGCAAAGCTACAAAAATGAAAAAATATATATATTGGGCATGACATCCTAAGGACAAATGGTATTCAGCTTTAGAAATATGTTTATTTGCAGGTACTTTTTGAGAACTATTCTATCTTTTTAAAAGCCTTTGTCTATTGAAAAATATCACTATTCTAATTTTTAAGACCATCCAGGGGATGCAAACCTGTAAAAACAGACTCTGAAATTATGTTCATTCTCACTCAACCAAGTTCCTCTTTCAGGGTGTAATGTATGAGATCAATGACTGGAACAAAACCTGCAAGAAATGGCCTCTGAAGGCTGACTTCCATCCTTTGGCGATCCCCAAAGATGCAGTACTGCTGGGACAAGTGGTGATTGGCAGCTCCTCTGGACCTGGACAAGGACTCCTGGTCAACACCTGGACGGGGGACATAGGAGGTGAGAGACAGCAAAGAAACAATCAGTACTACTTTGTCAAAGTTCTGTATATAAAACTTCTTTTTGTTGTTGTTGTTCCAGGAACGTACATGATGACAGTCACTGAGTTTGGATGCATTCCTGTGACCACTGTGCAACACACCAACAAGTTTGGATGGATCATGACAAGGTAATGACAACATCAATTCTGTGATAAACAAATAAACAAATACATTAAGTTGTGTATTAATAATTACAAATATTAAAAAATATTCCATCACCATGTGTTTTGTAGCTTCTTTAACAACATCATCGGGATAACAGACCCCAGTAAGCTTAACCCTCCAGACTTCTGCCCAGATGCAATGACAGAAGACGTCACACGGGAGCCTGCAGACTTCTGGAGTTTGTTTTTCAATAAATAAGTATTTGCAAAAAATCTGATCTTAAAGTATTTTGAGACAAGCATCTGATCAGACATCATGTACTTGTAATTTTGCAGACTTGGAATAAATGCCTTTGTTACAAGCAAACACTGAAGTCATTTGTTCACACACTTCTGCAACATGCATGCTCAAAACTAAAAGGACAAAGTACAATGAAGTACTGAAGAACAATAAAACACACAGCTTAGAAATAAATGTGTTCTGTAAAAGAAAAATCCATGACAAAATGAAGGTAGGAATGTAACCAATTGTTTTGTGCTAATGCGTGGATGCTAATGTCATGGCTGTTTTGTGCTCAGTAGAGCTCCAGCAATATATTGGAGTACTCATTATTCAGCGTGTTTAGCACGACTTTTTAATTAACTTATTAAACTTGTTAACTTATTAAATTGAATTAGTTAAATTTCCTTTCCTACTTTTCCTTGTTCAGTTTTAATATATATTAAATTGTGAGCAGAAAGAATGCAGTTTTTTCTGCTAGAATTCGTCAGTCTATTCAAAACGTGCACAAAAACATGTCCGGTTGGGCCATCACTGATTGGCATTGGGCAGTGATGTTGACGTCAGTTGTCGGTGTATCTGCTGCCTTCTTAACGTGTGATATTTTGTTATTGGTATCGCAGTGGGCTGGCACTTCCAATTGAAGGATGTTGTTTTTAAAAATTGTAAAAACAAAAAGGGAAAAATCTGGCTACTAACCTTTCCTGACAAAAGTCCGAACCAGCTCCTCTTGCTGACCAAATAAGGAATTGCCAGGACAGGTATTAGGGCTCCCTCTACTGGTCAAAAAAGATCAACATATTAATGGTCTCAATATGTTACATCACGTAATTTTGAAAAAAACATATATAGTTAAAAGAATTTAACTAAAGAAATTACTTAAAGAATTGACTTAAATAAATTACATTTTTTTAGCTGTTAAATACACGTTAAAAGATTTTTACATGCATACATTTGAATTTGGTAACTACATATATTAAACCCTGTTTTATGTTAACTTCATCAGCTAATGAACATGAGGATGTATTTTTCCAATAGCATTCATATTAAAGCTGGGCAACTTAACTTAAACTCATTAACTAACACTGATCATTATTTTATCGCATGTTAATGATAACATCATGTTAACCTATTATTATTATTATTATTATTATTTGTTTAATTATTGTAAACGTCTGTTGCTCACCGCCTTGAATTTTGTCAAAGTATGCTGCTTACTCCTGAAGAGCTCACAGGAACCGGAAAAGGAGAAAACTTACCTTTCGTAAAAGTCGGCCCCCAAACAGTCATTGTCCAATCCTAGCATCCGTCACATTGTAAACAGGTTCTTTCAGGCTGGACCACTCACAAGCCAAGTGGTAAAGGTGCCCACTTAGTGAACTGATGTAAGCCAGAAGTAGCAGTAGCTGTTTTGGAAATAGAATAGAATAGTACTTTATTCAATAACCCAACAGTCAAAATCTGGAATAAATCAATATTTTGTCACTATAATTCATATTACCACTAGCATTAATTCTTGCAAAAATGATACTTGTTGACTTTTCTATCAAACATAGACCTTTTTCTTATGTTTGTAACACATTCACTTAAACATGAACATCTGGTCACAACAAATATTAGACTGTGTTCTGATTATTCAGTTGACAAATATTGTCAGGTGGGAAGATTACATCATGTGACCTTCGTTCACATGATGTCCCGTGACATGCAGGTATTCCTGACAGAACTAGGTGCAGTTAAACACACCTACACATCATATGACACTGATGTCATTCATGCTTTACCCAGTCAAGCTCCTCTCCGTTCAAAAATAAAATCCAATCCAGGATTTACAGCCACCTACATTTGTTACACAAATAAAAATACTTCACCCCTGTCCCAGTGAGCATTGGACCACACAGCAACTGTTTGCAGTCACTTTACTAGGACCCCAGCTGTACTAATGTACATCCACTTGAAAGAATAAATGAGTGAATGCGTTTTTGTGCCCTTTGCCTTGAGAAATGCAACATATTGGTCATCTTAAGATATGATTGTACTAGGTTTAGGACAAGTTTTACTGCCTTTGTATCAGCAGAAGCAGTGGCTCAAAGAGTTATGCACAAAACCTGGAATCTGGATTATTTTCCTGGAGCCTGACACCATTTAAAAGGAAGTGATTTCCTGCAGCAAGCACCACAGCGTTTGCTACTGCAGATGAAGTGGAGAGTGGAATCTTCAAATATGAAACAATTAGCAGCAGTACTCGTCTGTTTACTGGCCGCCTGCCTGGCTGACAAGCCTCAACCATGCAGTAAGTAATACTTTGTAATAAGTATTTAGCTGTGAAAAATACCTTGTGCTTTCCAAAGGTGATTTCATTGCTGGCTTCCAGACTTTGGCTTGTTTCTTTTGTGAAAGTGTGTACTTATGTCAAAACAAAATTTAATGTTTTAAAAAAAATATGCTCTGTCATCCTCATACAGCAAGTCCTCCTCTCCTGACTGGAGCCTTCACCGTGGTGAGTGTTTATATTGGCATTTTAATACCTGAACACAAAACAATGAGTAAAGTTGCACTTTTGTCATTTGTTTGTTTGTTTGTTTTTTAAAGTCTACACAGAATGAAGAGCTGTGGCAATATGCACAGTTTATTTATGACGCACTGGGCCAGAAGATAAGAATGAAGGATTTGGGAACCTATGACAATCAGAGTTTCACCCATGATGTTCTTCTGCTTTTCAGAGAGGTGTGTTTGTGCTAGACACAATACCTGAACCACACATACCAGCAATTTGTGGATGCAAAAGCTACAAAAATGAAACAATATAAAGAAATCTATCAGGCATGACATCTTAATGTCTAATTTCAGTAGGAAGTATAGTGTTCAGCTTTAGGAATATGTTTATTTGCAGGTACTTTTTGAAAACTATTTTATCTTTTTAAATATTGCTATTCTGATCATTTTTAAGACCATCCAGGGGATGCAAACCTGAAAAAACAGGCTCTGAAATTATGTTCATTCTCACTCAACCAAGTTCCTCTTTCAGGGTGTAATGTATGAGATCAATGACTTGAACAGAACCTGCAAGAAACTGCCTCTGAAGGCTGACTTCCATCCTTTGGCGATCCCCAAAGATGCAGTACTGCTGGGACAAGTGGTGATTGGCAGCTCCTCTGGACCTGGACAAGGACTCCTGGTCAACACCTGGACGGGGGACATAGGAGGTGAGAGACAGCAAAGAAACAATCAGTACTACTTTGTCAAAGTTCTGTATATAAAACTTCTTTTTGTGATTGTTGTTCCAGGAACGTACATGATGACAGTCACTGAGTTTGGATGCATTCCTGTGACCACTGTGCAACACACCAACAAGTTTGGATGGATCATGACAAGGTAATGACGACATCAATTCTGTGATGAACAAATAAACAAATACATTAAGTTGTGTATTAATAATTACAAATATTAAAAAATATTCCATCACCATGTGTTTTGTAGCTTCTTTAACAACATCATCGGGATAACAGACCCCAGTAAGCTTAACCCTCCAGACTTCTGCCCAGATGCAATGACAGAAGACGTCACACGGGAGCCTGCAGACTTCTGGAGTTTGTTTTTCAATAAATAAGTATTTGCAAAAAATCTGATCTTAAAGTATTTTGAGACAAGCATCTGATCAGACATCATGTACTTGTAATTTTGCAGACTTGGAATAAATGCCTTTGTTACAAGCAAACACTGAAGTCATTTGTTCACACACTTCTGCAACATGCATGCTCAAAACTAAAAGGACAAAGTACAATGAAGTACTGAAGAACAATAAAACACACAGCTTGTTGTCTCATAACTGTGTGACCACAATGTTCAGGCTTCAAGAATGAACATGTTTCCAAATGTTTCAGATGTTTCAAAAGCTCTGTGCTTAATAACAGATTTGTTCTTTTTACAGAATTAAAAGCATCATTTTACTACACTAAACTCTACCCCCACCCCTTTAAAAAAGTATGTGAACAAGAAACATTAATCTCCGTAATTTAATTCAAAAACTGGCTCTCTAAAATTAACATCACAAAACTGTCTGTCATTGGTGTCACACACAGTAGACACATGACGGGGAATTTTAAATGTACAGGGCCAGGAAGTCATATGAAAAAAACCTGGCAGTTAATATTGAGCCTCCCAATAAAAGGAAGTGTGAGAACTGTGAAGCAGCAGCATTCAATCCGTCTGTCAACGGAGACAATGAGACTCCTCGTCCTTTGTGTGTGCCTGCCATTGATGTGCCTTGCCCAGAGGCCTCAACAATGCAGTAAGGATTGTTTTTCTGTGTCAGCTTGTGAGACTAATATAACTACTGTAATTCATAATAATGTTGAAATGCAATTCAAATCTTTTCCTTTGGTTAGCTTCCCCACCACTGTTGACTGGACGAATGTCTGTGGTAAGTCTTACGACTCGTTTCTTTTAATTTGTAATTCTTTTTTCATAGTTATTCACCAAATTATTTTATATTTAGAGTCATGTTATTTAACTGACAATCTGATTTCAGTTTGTTGTATGCTCTGTATTTAAAAAAACAAAACAATGTTTGCATGTCCAAGGCCACCGCAGATGTGAAGCTGATGGTTTATGTCAAGTACAGCTACGA